AGCTTTTCTCTCAAGCACAAAAGGCACAGCAGTTAATTGCTATAAATTACACAGCATTGGCCTGTAAGTGTGTTTGCATGCTCCAGGAAAAAGGATACATCATTTCCAGCACAATTTCATGAGTGAAAACAACCTTTCTATACAAATGATGAACAAATCTACAGTTTCCAACTAGACACATAAGTTTATTAAAAGTGACACATCTTGTTCATATTTGGCATCCTGGGTACTGTCTGCAGATTGGTGGCAAGGGGTTTACAGTGTCTACAGTGACGGACAGATGCACGATTCAGAAGTTATTTATACACAGTTTTTTATACTCATGACACCATTGCTAATGTTTATATTCTGTATATAAACATTAGCAATGGTGCTAATGTTTTTTGTGACAACAACAAAACAAAACAAACAAAAAAGTTTATACAAATCCTCGAGTGTGGATACTTGAACCGAGCCCCTTGGGACCTGTCGGTACCAAAGGGTTCGGACAGAAATTGGGGAGGGGGGGTCAGCAGTTGTTTTTTTTTTTTTTGTTTTCTTTTTTAGGATTTTTAGCATTTCTTGCTCACTACACACTTATGTGTGACCACAAATGAATTTTCTCTTCTAGTTCTACTAATAAAGGCACTTATAAGGGTGGGAAGGTCGATCACAACCAATATGTCAGTGTGAGCACTCAGTGCCAAGTGGATGAGCCTGTCCTGCGTCATGGTGCTGCACAGCCAGGTCTTCAGCCTACACAATGTGGAGAAAGATTGCTCAGATGCTGCAACAGAAATCAGGAATGACAGGCATAGTTTTATGAGTTTTTCCACCTCCATCTGCATACCATGAGTTTGTGGCTGAAGGTCTGGTTGGTGGTGACTTTGCATCCCTTACAGATACAGTATCTCCCAACAAGGCTAAAGGCTTAGTCGCTCTAGTACAAAGTATGTCAGATCCCGGCAGCACTTTACATCAGCCTTTTTCCTTTGAGGATGTCAACATTCCATTCATTCAGTGCGGCTGGGCTGGACTATCAGTAGCGATTTTGTATAAAAACATAATATAATGTAATAATTATGTATCTTCAAAACCCTGATGAAAATGGCCATTTCAAGTTGTGCTACTTCACCTTGATTAGAAAAACTGGGGCATCCTGTTTGAGCCAGACCTGGGAGAGGAGCCCGCCAGTGGGCATCTGGTGGCCAGGCCTTGGCTCATGGGGTCCATTTGGGCACAGCCCAAAGGAATGACATTGAGCCGCCACCCTGTGGACCCACCACCTGCAGGGAAAGGACTCGGAATCGGGTGCTAAGCAAGTCAGGTGACAGGCTAGGTCAGGTACCTGGGTGTGTTGATTCCTGGCTGTGTAGGCCAGCTCTAGTATTGTAGAATGTCAACTCAAGCATAGGGTGGTTCATAAGTGTACTTGATACCAGAACACCTTATGCCTCAGATCAATGATCGACTTTGTTGTTGTATCATCTGATCTGCGGCTGTATGTCTTGGACACTCGGGTGAAGAGAGGAGCAGAGCTGTCAACTGATCACCACTTGGTGGTGAGTTGGATCAGATAGTGGGGGAGGCTGCAGAACAGGCCTGGTAAACTCAAACATGTGGTGAGGGTGCACTGGGAACACCTGTCTGAGACCCCTGTCTGTGAGGTTTTCAACTCACACCTCCAGAAGAATTTCTCTCATGTCCCAGGGGGAGGCTGGGGACATGGAATTCAAATCCTCCATTGTAGAAGCAGCTACCCTGATTTGTGGCCAGAAGGTCATTAGTTCCTGTTGTGGCTGCAACCTGAGAACCCCCTGGTGGACCCCAGCGGTGAAGGAAGCCATCAGACTGAAGAAGGAGGCCTTCCAGGCTTGGTTGGAACAGGGGTCTTTTGAAGCAGCTGATAGGTACCGGTAGGCCAAAAGGGCTGCGGCTCATATAGTTGTGGATGCAAAAACATATCTAATTTGAAATGTATTTGATGCCAGGTTGTATTGGGTGCTCTCTGTCAATTTACTTTAAAATGAGAATTTCTAGGCGGGTTGTATAATACTTCATTAAAATTCACAATTCCCACACCACGTTGCTTTCATCACTTCCATTCAGGTGCTTGTCTTATACTGTGAGCATAAATAACAGTATTAATATTATTATATGTGTAAGTGTAAATCAGTTTTTGAGTTCTGTGTCAGAATTAAAAACATTCAATTGGGGATTGGTGTGTGTTGTTGAAGTGTCTTTGCGTGTGTTTGAATATGTGTTTGTCCCAAAAGCTCCCAACAGATGGAGGCCTTAAATAATAGTCCTGGCAAACACTATCTCAAACTCCAGATGAACAAATGGAGGCAAAGAGTCCGTTTTTTTTCCACATCAAATAGGACTTGTGCTTAAAGGTGCAAATCAAATCAAACTTGAAATGTTGGCTGAGAAAAACACTTTACTTTCAGATGTTCTGAATCATACACACACTTATTAGCTTTGGATTTTGCACCTTTGTTTTGATTTCCATTAATGTTCACTGAATCCCTGCATCTGTGCTCAATTAAGGTTTCTGTTTACATCCCATTACCTTTCATTCTTCACATTTTCTCCACAGAGGCAGAGTGCCATATTGAATTAATTTCATTTGATTGCAGTGGCAGTTCATGGGGTTTTTATGGCAACTTTCAAACACAGCAGAATTGATTCAAGTGATAGCAAAAGCCAAAGGAAACACAGAAATAATCAAAGTGACAGTGAAATGTTAACTGAACACTGATCTACTGTGGATTGCTTGCATGTAATTAGCATGACTGTTATTGATCTGTTTGCACGCTCTGACTTGACAGATCAATTGAAAAAGATGATAGAGAAGGAAGAGGAGGAGAAGCAGGAAGAGTAGGAAGCAGCAGTTCCAAGATGGCAGGATATGTGTTGAAAAAGTTATTTCGCAGAGACAGGTAATCAAGCGTCTGGACTGCAGAGGAGGTTTTGAAATAGTGAGCTACAGTATCAAAACAAGGGCAGATGTCACACCCTACTATTGCATCCTTGACAGGTGCGGTGATTTGTGTTTTGTGATTCTTGCCCATGCATGCCTTTCAGCTAAAACTCCATTCCCTTTTCCCCTCCAGCCAGACTGTCTCTTACGAGGGCACTGCATGATAACACAAAGCAATCCATTACAGAGTATTAATTCAAAAGTAGTGAGAGAAAATGATAATAATTCTCCAGGAATGGCAGGGGAGCTGCTACTGGATCTATAAATAGATTGAAGTGGTGTAGTCCACGTGCCAGAGCTTTCTTCACTGCACCACAATTTCACAGACAGTCTGGGAGTATTTTTGCATTTATTTATTTACAAAAGGAGCCTCTCCTCCTACTGTTTTCTCTTCTTCTTATTTCCTCTTGCTTACTGCCTTTTTTGTTGCTTTTTCAGTTCAAACTCTTCCAAACCAAAACACATTTAAAAAGACATATTATCAGACCAAATCATTACTAAAAGTTTAAACTCAGTCAATCAAAAAGGCCATATTGTATAGCAAATGCTGACAAATAAATTCAGCAAAGAATCTCTTTCATCTAAGCCAAAGGAAGATTGGTTGTTATGCTTTGGAGGAATGAAGTAATGGTCACACAATGTACCCTCTTGAGAAATCAAGGCAAGAATGTGGAAAGAAATGAATTTGCCCAAACAACTGATTCTAAAATAGACTAGATTAGACCGGGGTAGTGATGTTCTCTCTTAATAATCAAAAGACTGACATTTCTGCACAAATGCGGACATTATAATGGGTAAAAAAAGCTGTGTGCATGCAGGACCAGCTGAAAATGGTAAAAGCAAATGTATATTCTTGGCAAGTTTTCAGACAAACGCCTGGCAAGCACAAACATGGACTCTGTAAGCGCAACATCATTTATTACCAACCAGACCAACTGAGATAGTTGACAGAAAAATCATTGCACTACACAAACATAACTGGGTTAGAATGGTTTCAAGCTTCACTTCCTTGAGGGTGCACTGTGAAACAAACATGAAATTATATTATTCATTGCAAACACAGCTGTTAGGCTATACTTGATAATTATGAGCAGAGCTGAGATGGACTGAGTGTTGCAACATGTGCTTCATTTCTTGCTTGTTTTTTTTCTCAGAAATGTTCCTGAATTGCGCTCAGTGCTGCAATGCAAGGACACTTAACCTGAAGATATTTGGTGTTAATGGAGCTAGTTCACAGTTTCAAATGTTATCTCCACACCTGCTGCTGTAAAAAAAAAAAGAAAAAAAAAACTACAAAGACTAAATGCACCATGAGAGGAGAGAGAGAGAGAGAGAGAGAGAAAGACAGGAAGGTACGCATTGAATGCCAAAGGGAAAAAGTGTAACCGTGCCATCCATCAACACTGGCTGCCTGTCATCTGTGGAGTTTACTTGAGAAGCAGGGAAAACAGGAGCTATGCTTGCTCTTTCTCTCTGCGGGGTTCCCTTCCACTCCTCTGACTGAGCTTCTGATGGAGAGCAAAAACAGAGGCAATTTGATGAGACCACAGATCTCACACAACCAACTGCCCCTGACAGCTTCTTAGTGATTTCACCAGGCCCACAGAGGCTCATTCACATCATCAAAAACTCCAAGATAAGACAGACAGTGAATTGAGGTGTAAGGTTTGGCGCTGGCAAACAGAACACAACAAGCAAGCCCAAGCTGTTCAGACATTTGTATCACATGCTTAAATTGGCAACAAGAAAGGTTTTTACTGCCCGGTGGCACAAAACAACTCAAATTCATCCGTGAAGGGTCAAAAGAAGCTGACCAGAACTAGTGACTCAGCGATTTGTAGCAGGAGCCAACAATCCAGGCTTTTTGAAACTCGTGTTTTGGCTGTAATAAAAGCTCCCTATTGATAGGGTTGTGCTGGACTGAAACACTCTGCAGTGCGACACTGACTGATACACTCATAGGTTAAACAGAGAAAAGGAGAACAGGTGGGCAGACAGGAAGAGGAGTACCCAGACAGACAGCTCTTAGTCATCCTACCTGTCTGATGCCGAGTCTGTAGGCGACTATGCGGTCCACAGCATTGGGATTCATCTGTGTCCACTGGAGCTTGAAGCCGTAGACTCTGGGTCTGTTCTGCCACAGGGGGCTGTAGGTATCGTAGTAGAACTCTGGAGCATAGGCCTTGCCTGGACAGACAATACATTGATAATGACCATTATTTATTGGTCATTTCAGAAGAAAACCACAAAGTCAAAGCATATAGGTGAATTTAAGGATGCGTCATAAAACTGGGGTACTCCTGAGAGACATTAAAAAGAAACTAATGATCAAACATCAAGCAGGGATATCCTGACTTTAAGATCCAGAAACACATCCTAAATTTCCCATGATGCAACTCAATGACATCTTTCCTTCTTGACACTTCTTGACCATGGCTGTATTATTGGAGAACTGGATACACCATTGCTAGATGGCACCCATCCATTCCTACAGTATGGAAGTTGCTCAGTGGCACATGATCTGAAAAAAATTGTCATGCTTCAGGATTACAGCAATAAAAATTCCCTAGATGTTCCGCATGCTTCCGCTTTTTGTGCACTTGCCTTGAGCTGAGTCTCCCGCCCAATGAGCTGGGTGACTTCTGGTTGGCTCCACACACACATGAATGGGATAAAATAAAACTATCCTACGGTTAAACTAGACTTTCCAAATGGTATTGGACCCACTGAATCAAATTATAATAATAAAAAGAGTCATTTTGCTGGGTTTGTGGTGCTTTATTCACCACTTTACAACCAATCCTTTTCTAATTATTTGCTATGGGAAAAATGCGTTTTGGGCTAGTGCACACCGTATGGATGAACGTGGACGTTGTAGTAATGCGGTGTGGCCGCTATGTCAGATTTGCTTCACAGCACTGTTGCTTGTTGTTAAATGGCCATGTCATTTACACTCAACATCAGTTTTTTGAAATTCATGTTAAAAAGTATTTAGTCTTCAAGCATAACCCTGATGATGTTATCTGGTTATTTTTTACCTTACCATATTCTATACCTTCTGAGGCATAGAATATGTCATCTATACAATATGGCATAAATAAACTTTATGGGTAAAGTTGTGTTCCACTTTATGATTAGTAAAACGTTTTACATCACAGAACCTTATTATGACTAACGACTGAGGGGGATATTTTCTAAGGTTTTGTGGCTCATTTTGTGGCTATAAACGGTGAAACTGCATGTGTTCACATTTACTAAGGAGTTGCAGTGAGGTTTTGCAGTGGAGAAGCATAAGAAATGCAGCACTGCAGGAATTTGCATTTTTGGTCCCATGCAATAGGTAGTTTAAAGGGGTTTCACTTCAAGGATGCAAAACTCAGTGAGGAGACAGAAATTTATACAAATACCCTCGGCACCTCATTTACCACCACTGCAACAGAGGGAAATGTGGCTGAAATTTGTTGTTAGGAGAGAGCAGGTGTAAAATTTGTGACATTGCTTCAGTTACTGAATTAAATAAATAGAAGACTGTTTGATTGGCCGGAGACTATGTGATTGAAGTTCTGAAATATGTTTGTTGATTTCTTCAATTAGATTAAAGTTTGGTCACTGTAATATTATACTATCTTCTACACTTCCTCTCGGTCCATGCATGTGCAACAGGGGTGTGTTCAAATTAACACAGCTGTGTCTGTTCTCATTTACATCATCAGTGTTGATAAATACAATGCTAAATAAAATTTAAAAAATGCAGTGCTGGAATATTTTCAGTGCCTGATGGTAATTTGCTGCAGGTTTATTATCTGTCAACCTAAGACAGCTCCATGACAACAGTGCCAATGTCTTGCCATATAACAGCCCTTTATGCATGTGTTTAATTCAACACATTGACAGTGACACACTGTATGAATTGAATTGGTAAACACATAGGCAAAGAGCAAAATAAATGCTTGTTTTATTTTGAAAGGTCAGTGTAATTAGGTCTGTATTATTAATAAAATTCCATCTTTAATGTCACACCGCTGCTAAGTTATAATTACAGTAATAATGGTAATTGTTCTTTTTCTTCTTCTTTTGAGGTTTTTGTTTTCATATCCATTAGAGACGAGTTCTGCATTTTGCTAGAATGGTTTGTTTTGCACACCATCCAGATATACTCTCACACTGGGCAGCAAATTCAAGATGGTATAAATATAATCTTGTAAATGTTTCATTTCTTAGCACAGTGAGACTTAGTTAAAGCCATAAAGACTGCTGAATTAGCATGACAAAGATGTTCAGTATCTTTTACCTTCTTTGCATTGTGTTCGATCTATTTTTACCCATGCTATATCATATTCCTCGTTGCTGTTATGACCCAGTTTTCTCTCAGGGGTGATTAAAGTTTCATCTAATGTTAAGTGAAAGAGTAAATTCCTGACACTGAATCAAAGCAAGTACAAGATCATATGTCAAATAAATGTAACTACTGCATATCTCAACTGCCCTTCCTATGTAATGCCTGTACTCAACTCAGGATATTAGATTTTGTTAAATATTTTCTTTAAATATCATTGTTTGCTCATTGAAATCTGTGAGGATTTATTGCCTACAGAACTGTGGCCTGAACTAAAATTAAGTTTTCAGCTTTCAGTCACAGTCTACAAGCTGATTTCTGACAGCTGAAGAAGAACAGGATGTTGTATTTTATTTAAAAATGTAGAAACAAGTTTACAGGATAACCTTCCAGGAAAATAATAGCAGTTCACCAAAATGACATTCTGTTGTGTTTGTCCCTTTGCTGTTCGTGCTTGTTTGTTGAAGGGTGACAATCCCCACAGCAGATGATTGTTAATAGCCATGGAAAAGACAGTCGAGCAACCATTGTTAGCTCAAACAAAAGACGCATTGGGATTTCATGTACCCACACAGAGATGCAGCAAGTAGTTAATAAAATGTCAGGCTAAACCTGTCAAGTTAGTTTGTCATTGATGAATTACAGTGGCATTATTTTACTCTACAGTTCTGGTGGTCTCCGGGGTCTCTCTTTGTGGGCTCCTTGGTGTGGAAAGATCCTTGAACCATTTGGCTTCCTTTGATTTAATAGTAAGTAGGACAATGAATGGAGGAAAATAAACTAAGGGAATAGGGAGTTGATAAAGGTCAAACATTCAAAGAGTTTCCTATGTCTGGTTTTAATTTGATTTTTCTGCACTAACAGTAGGCTAGAAGCTCTTAAACCATTTTACCTTCAACAAATTTCATGAACAGATCCTACAGACAAGTTCTTTCTGTGCAACCAAATTTTAATATATAATCTATGGCCAAAAATGTTGGCTCCCCTCCCACTTCTTCCAGTAAATTGTTGCAATGAGAAATTCTTTGATTGGAACAACACAAAAAATAACAAAGAAAAAAAGGCTAAATGTGATACATTCCACACAGAACTCCAGGAACCGACTGGGCACAATTATTGACACCTTTTCAAAGTCATCAGAAATAGTTGTATTTCAAGCATATGATGCTCCTTTAATTTGTAATGAAACTCACCTGTAGCAATCAAGGGTTAGGGTTAGCTTATTCATCTCTGTCATGAAGATCTGTTCTTACCCAAAACTTATTCAAAACACATACAGTAAACGAGTCACACCACTGCAACATTCATTACCCAGAACATGGCTAATGTAGTTTGCCATGGGTTAATCCTATATGCACCACCCTCCTGCCATTAACTAACATTAATGTGTATTGATGCATGACTCAAAATAGTCCCCAACAAATGTCTCTCACGCCTGTCTAAATGATGTTTGCTAAACATGACCAGGCGCTTTTAAAAAACAACAACAACAAAAAGTACAAAAAAAAAAAAAAAACACGATCACAGTGCTACTGTAGGTGAACCTGCACTATGCTGCAGTAATCATGCAATCATGCAGCATTGGTTGTGACTGATGTATGCATTATCTTGAGATTAAATCTACCCCAAGAAAGAAAACTATATGGGACCAACATGGCTGAACAGTTAATTAGTAAACGGGAGAAAACATGCTCCATAATAAACTGGCAAATGTCATAATTTCCTTGTATCCAATTTAAGCTGAAAACACCTGCATTTCAGATATAATACTCATTCAAATTTTAACAAATGAAAAAGGTGAGGCGTTTATGAGGATTAACAGTTTTATTCTGCCTCTGACTGGTTTGATCAGTTCTCATAATTGTCCAAGATAATAGGTCAAAATCACTGAGTGCATATTGTTTTGCACTTTAGACAATAAATCAAGTTAATGATGCTTTGGGCAGCTAACTGCAGATTGCTTGGCCTTTACATGGATAAAGCTATTTAGAATACTATATTCTAATCTGGGAGAAAGGAACACTCATTCATCAGACAGATAAAATCATTCAGAGACCAAAACAAGCAGAAGCAAGAGAATACTGTTAATAATTAAACAGTGTAATTTATTTTTAAGTGGTTTTGTCTTTTTATGTTGAGGTAACAAATGCATCTCAAAAGGACATTAGCATTCCACTGCTGCTTATATATGATGAAAATGCTGAATTATAAACTGCCTATGTCTCACCGAGATGCTAATGCTACCAAAAAACATATTTTCCAGGGGGAAAAAAGCAAGGATAATTACTGTCTGTTCTTCACTTGGCACCAATTCTGTGTATAGAGCCAGCTGTGTTTACAGCATAGTGCACAAAAATGTTACATAAGCCAGGCAGGCAGATAGTGTCAGTGTTGTTTGTGCAGTTTATACTGTACAGTAAGGCCGGTAAAGAAAATAAAAAGCTGTAATCGGCATTAGAGCAATAGTAAGAAAGGTTAACTAAAATGACTCATATTATTGTATGTTTTTATAAAGATTCCCATCATCATCAATCTATTACATCAATTGTAGCTCTTATTTTGAAAAGAAAATACATTTCAAAAATACATTTCTTAGAGTAGCAAAGGCTGAGAATATTGTCAAATTTATTGGTGAATCATTGCCTATTCAGATATACTGTACAATATAATAAAGCAAATGGTCCTCACTCATAATAATATGCTCTGTGTGGTAAAGCACATTACCTAACCCACTTACACCGCTTGAAACAGATAACCCTGGATGGGAGACATCAAACATAGTACAGAAGGCTTAATTGATTTTGTTAAAATTCTGTTTATAACAGCAGAACCAATGCAATGATTCATAACA